ATTTAAATTTAATATTAATATATAAATTAATATTTCTATCAAGCAATTTTACAAAGATTTTATTACCAGAAAAGGATTCAGAAATAATTTCAAGAAAATTTATGTTACTTATTTTTATTATTATAATTATCAGATTAAAGATAATAAAAAACTTATTCTTTTTAAACAATTATAAATTTAAGTTTTATTAGTTTTAGGTCGAAAGTATAAAATTTTTATCAATCTACGTATATTCATTTATACTATAACGTAAATAAATATTTGAAATAAAGACAATTATCTAAATATATAGTCGTTAACTTCGTTTAATTTATTTGTTCCAATGGAATTTGAGAACTGGACTTAAGCCAAATACCATAAACCGGAAAGTTCAGAAAAAATTACTAGACTATATAAATTACAAAAATCGTATTAAATTCGAGAATAATAATAAAAACAGAAATTACAATTTTTCGAATATTTTAAACATAATCTTTTTGAATATACTCTTCAAACCCGTCATTTTTCGTTAAACTATTCTTTTCTTATAGTAAACAATAAACACCCAAGTAATTGCTAAAATAATTAATATTAATTCATTTTTCCAATAATATTACTTTCAAAAATCAATCGTTATACTTCATTTAAAATTTGAATTCGAAAAATATCGAATAATTATAATTTTTAAGCTACCAGTCAATTATATAAATTAATTTTGTCACGCGATTATTAATCAGACTTGATTATAAAATTAATTTTAAAAAACTTAATTTTGTCAGTTTAAATCATTAAATTTTAATCTACTAAATAATTTGAAACACGACAAAACTTTAGCTACAAATGGACAAAAATTTTCTGGTGTTACGCTAACAGGTATACTTCTCGAATCTAAAGCAATCCATGCCAGGTAAAACCTGTCTACATAATCACCTTTTTCCCTTTTGCGAGTAAGGCAGGTAGTTACAGTCGGTGGAACCGATATAGCGCGGTCATAAATTAAAGCGTTAAGTGGCGACATCCATTGATGTAACCGCACATAAGAATCACGAGTCGTGCAGAAACACTTTAAAAATTTTGATCTCCCAAAGTCTTGTGCAAACTGACAATCCGTTTATAATCCTTCGTTATAGCTACACGCTATATTAACTTCTCGATATCTGACCAATAATATTGCCTTATTTGTAAAAATTAATCTATAGTTTTAATAATATGAAAAACAAAAAGTTTTGGAGAAAACAAAAAGGAAAGGTTCTGAGTTGACACCGTACGGCTCTGGCCGAGACTACATATCCCCGAAAACATTTCAAATTGCATATATCTTAAAATGTATAGACTATTTGCAGCGTATGGAGTATACAGTATAACAGAGTATTTGATAATTGGTGATACAATCCTTTGGAAAGTGAATTTACATGCAAAAAGAAGTCGAAAAGAAAGTATAAAATTTATTCGTTTGAAGCTTTGCTATCGAGAAAATCGGTACTGAAAATTCACAGAATACGTACTGTTTCATTTAAACCCTAAAGCTACAAATTTTACTGTAGACTGCATCCCTATTCGTGTTCATAAACAATCTTAATATTTTTACATCTACAACAAGTATACCGACTGAGGATAACAAAAGGAAAAATAATCTACATTCAGGTACATATCATTACAATTTAATTAAATATACGCAGACTCCATAAATTTATAAACTTTATTTTCTTAGTAGCAAAACCTTAAATGAAAAAAATCGATTTACTTTTAGATATAGAATTACCTCCTACTGGTTTGTACCATCACTTACCATCAGTCACCCTATATAAGCTGCAGACTCTGACATATTTTATAACCAAACTGCCTACTATATCGACTGCTAAAAGTACATTTTCAGATACCAAAGAAAAAATATCCGTGACTATGCTTAACCCTGCCCTACGATTTAAATTTTGATGGTGTGTAGTCAACAGCAAAGTCGGTCATACGACGAACCATTTTGCCCGAACGCGGCGAAAAATAACACGTAACAGAGACAGGAAGCTATTGACGAAAATTAACCAGGAGCCTGATCCGTGTTGTTTACGTTGAGCTCTATCTAAAAGCCAAGCCTTTCACCCGTGACACTCGGGTTTTTACTAGAAAATTAATGCTTTTCGTATTTGAGGAACACCTGTAGAGTGTCTAGAACCCCTACTACAAACCTGCACAATTATAAATAAATTGAAGATAAACAGTCTATGGTAACGTAAATTGAGCTCTGTCGGAAAGGTAGATTCCATTTTAAAAATTAAAACATTTATTTGAATTTAAATTTATTACATATTTATATTAGTTGGTAATATAATATGCTTTGAAATCGGTCATTTGATACAAATTCGGAACTATAAATCGTTAATATTTTTCCACATATTAAATATTAAATAATTAAATAATTGTTTATTTAATACCTTCCATATAATTTTACAAATGAACCTGTTTTATAATTTCATAATTTTTAGATATTTTTTAAAAAACCTTTTTGAATGTTATTTTGAAGATATTAATAAAGCTATTTATATTTTATATAGATAAATAAATTTTGTAGATACAAAATTTATAAAACAAATTTAATAAATTTTGTATAATTATGCTTCTGTTGAGTTTTTATCGTAATATTAAAGAATGTATTATTTTATAAATTTAGAATTTCTGCATAGGACAAGTTAATTTCTTTGTAATACTATACAACTTATCGTATTTACGTATAAAAACTTGATTCGATAAAATCTAAGTATAAAAAAAATTTGATTTTTCATACACCATTCCATTATTACCATTATGTATATGATAAATATAGTAGACAAAGCACATATCACCACTGAACTCTACTTGCTCTGTAAGGGACAATCACCTGAGATGATGATTAATATTATATACACAATAAAAGAAGTATCTTTCTCATCAAACGAATATAACTCCTATTTTATGAATATAATTAATTTCATAATTTTACAATCAATCAAAAAAATCTTTACATTATAACTAAAGATTAAATATTATTAATCAATCCCATATGTAACAAGTGATATATAATTATATATAATTATTATATTATTATAATAATATTATAATAATATTATATATGTTATTTAATAATATATGTAACAATGTCAATTCCATATGTAACATATATAAAGTAATAAATAATATAATTAATATAATAATGTATAAAACGAAAAGTATTTATACATTATTAAAAAGAATTATAAAAAGTATTTTTTACGAATACGATTGTTTGGTGATAAAATTATTATATTTTGTTCGTACTATTTATTTAATGAAATAAAACAAACAGTAATTATGCAAATATTGCATATGGAGTATATATTTTATAACTTGTACGCTATAACTACTATCGATACGGATGAATGTTTTAAAACTTGCATAAGAAATTTAAATGCATCTGTTAGAGGGCAGCACGAAACAGAGAGTTAAAGATTAAAAATGAACGAAAGGAGCGCTGCAGGCAAAACCGGTCGACGTGTTCTTGACACGAGACTTTTAATGAAAAAAGAATTTTATTTTTAATGTTCGTTATAACAAAAATTACTCAAATGATGCACACATTGCAATCAATAGAAAATAAAAGCTCACCTGTTTCTGTTTATGTACAGAATGCATCTTCGGATTCAAACTGCAACTGCTATATCCAACCTCTAACCGACAGGGTGCGGGTTCGAGGTTTTAATTTTCAAGAGAACGTCACTTGTCGCTTCATAGTAAATGTACACTCACTTTCTCAACACCATCACCTCGTAAATTTTTCTTTTGTAAACAAAGACAATGACATTTCAAACACTTTTCTAACGACATATTCAAGAACGAAATTGTCAATCACGAAACAACCGCATGGCATGGCGACCGCGGTTACAACTCGACATATACGGTGTTTTAAATGATACGTCACATCCTTGATCTTTAATACTATTGGTTGGTTTCAAAAGAATCAACCAATCAATTTTAAAACATTCTCACTACGCGGGAAAGTAAAGTAAACCACGTTAAAAATATTTAAAAAATAATTAAAAAGTCGTATATATGCTATTTTGTTGATTAATTTAAAGAAACGTAACACTAAATAAAAATATAGCACTTTATTTGAAAGAATGAAATATGAAAGTCAAATATACAAAAATTACAATGTAAATTTAAAGTAAATACGATAACAAAACATACTCACTTATGATTATATATCGCCGCCATTGAACCACTACTTTGATCGGATTCTAACAGCTATTATTTCAACTATATTAGAATATATAATATCAGTTATAAAGTAATCTACGAATAAATTTTATTATTGATAAGATAAATAAAAAATGAAAATTAGTTACAATTTTACAAGAATATCATAACGTTTATACACATTATATAAAATAAATCATATTGACTATGTATAAAAAATTAAAAAATATTAATATAAAATAAAATGATGACAATACATGACTTACACACTTGTTTAAAAGACAAAAATTGTTTTTTCATATACTTATTAATATTTGTATTTCTTTTCTTTAACATATATAAATATGTATATTTTTCTTAAAAGTATATTAATTTGCATATTTTACTATGTAAATAGATATTCAAATATGAAAGGAATTTATATCTAAATATCATTATCTCAATATTTATATATGCTTTTATAATTCTCAGTATTTTTATTATAAGATAGTGGTTAAATAAACTTCACTTTGTCAATTATAAATAATAACAATAAAGCATTTGAAAAAAACGATGCAATCAACTTAAACTACATAACTAAATTAATTATTACAAATTAAATGAATAATATTGATTCAAAAGTTTAGTGTTAATGGAAGGGGCATCAATAATAATGCGTGACTCTAAGATGGCAGCACCTGAAATATGCGTACCCCGACTTAATATGTAGATTACAGAATTTAAAACCTTTCATGTATACATTTCGTAATTTACGAAAAATTGACAAATGAAATGAAAATTGAAACGCTGTTTTTATTATTTGAAATACCGAGTGATCAAAGGCTGTTTATTAAATGTTTGTTAAACGTCAAATTAAATGATGAATTATTTAAATAATTCGGCAGCCAGTGCAGTGACTAGTGATACTGGTTTACAATTGAACAATGTTGAAGTATTATACACTAAAGTGCAAAGAGTTTATATGAAACCACAATTTAAAGAAGAACGTCAACGTGAACTAAGGGTTAATGTTGAAATTCATGCCGGTATTAGTCCTGTGTGTCGTAAGGTAACGTAATTTATAATATTTACATTAACCTATACTTTGTTGATATACTATAAATAGTATATCATTGCTACACATATTTCTTTAGTTAATATTTTATATTATCTATCGTTTTCAATCCATATTTTTTAATTGTTTGTTAATATACATAAAAGGACATAAGGTTTTAGATAATTTAGAATCAGAGGTATTTCTATAATTAAATAATACATTATGTATTTATATTGCAGAGCTTATGTGTTTTGTTAGCAGATGATGATGATCCTTGTTTCCTTTATTCCTTATTTATCACAGAGGAAGATTTCAAAATTTTGAAGTCACAACAGGGATTATTAGTAGATTTTGATAATTTTGCAACACAGCTAATATATTTATTAGAGCAATGTCAAATACCTTCTACAAATTTGTTAAAAACACCACCAAAATTTTTATTGCTATTAGCAGAAGAAAGTGGAGAATGGATATTCAAACTGGTTGAAACAAACAATTTTAAACATTTATGCCATTTAAGCTTAAATATATCACCGGCAAGTGATTCTGATTTAAAGACCCATATGGCCATGAAAATTAAACACTTAAAAGAAAATATTTTACAACAAAATAGAGATGCACTTGCACTTGAAACAAGATTGAATGACTTATCAAATAAAGTAGAAACAAAAACAAAAGAATTAGAGCATTTAGAACATAAGTATATGACAGAAAAGAATCAAATGCAAGTATCTTCATCCGAACAAATAAGCCTTGAAAAAGATAGGTACATATAACTCCTATGTTCTTATCAAATATACATACATATATATCAAATATTTACCAAATATTGTTATTTTATAGATTTGCCAAAGCCCAGTTAGAATGGCAATGTCGGAGTGAAAAAGAAAAATTAGAAGTAGAACGTAGACATGCAGAAATTATAAAACAACTTCATACTGAACTGGCAGAATTACGAACACAAAATTTAACATATAAAGATAAGTTATCTCTTCTTGAAGCAACTAATTTAGAACAATTTAAAGAGCTCCAAACTCTTGAGAAAGAACTTAATATTGCTCAAAGAGATTTAAATTTATTGAAAAAGCAAAATTCGAAATTAGATACAGACTATCATGGAAAAGATAAAACAGTAAATGGTTTAAAAACAAAAGTCGCTGTACTTGAACAAGAATTAAAAGATAAAGGTGTACTTATTAGCAAACATACAGAAATGTTAAAAACTGCTAAAGAACAGAAACAGCATCTTGAAGATCTCATAACTGAAAGAGAAGGCCAAATACAACGTAAACATAATTCTTTACGAAACTTAAGTGATGAATTGATTAAAGCTAATGAAATATTAACAAAATTACAAAATGAACTTGCTTCAACTAAATCTAAATTAAAATTAAGAACAAGTATAGCACTTGAACAAGAAAGATTATTAGATATTAAACAAAAAGAAGTTGGTCAGTTGGAAGGCAAAATAGAAAATTTAATGAAAGAAACAAAAGATGCAAAGACAGAGGTTCAAAATTTGAAAGAGCAGTTAAAAACTCAACAAAATCAATTAGAAGAAAAAGAAAAAATAATAAAGAATAATGATAATGGTAATTACATATTTTTAATACATTAAATACAAATAATACAAAGAGTTTAGTTTATTACTAATACATAAGTTGATATTTTTTTTTAGAAGATATGTAAATATTTTATTTTATATTAAAAACGAAAATTTTTAATTTTTTAATGAATATTATTTTATTATATACTTGCAGTTATTAGTTGGTTAAATCGACGATTAGCAGATAGTCAGTCTCCATTACAAAATACAACTGTAGCAGCACCAATTACTGTCCCATCTTCAGTACAGTTAACATTACCTAGATCGAAGTTAATTACAAATAAATATGAAATGCATACACCTGCACCCAATGTATTACAATCAAATACCTCGTCTGGGTTGCCAATAAGAAATCCTATTGTCCAAAATCCAAATATTAATCAGACAACACGTATGACAGCACGGTCAATGGGTGTTGGTATCACTGATAGTACAATAGGCATAACAACATTTAATAAAAGTGGTCAAATTTCAAGTACCAGTACACCTATGGATCGTATTAATTCTTTGAACAAGTTACCTGGAAATGTTGCAGGTTCTTCTTTAATGCCAGCCATTATAGAAAATAATTCATCTGTTCCATCAAATAGTACAAAGACCAAAAGTACAAGTGTGCCTGGACAGGGTGGATTAAGACGGGCAGGTTTGTCTGACAAACCAATTTTGCCATCTGCATATTTTCCTAAAACATTACATTGATATAATCAAGATATCAGTATAAACATAAAGTAATAATACATCAAAGTTGTGATATTGCAATATAAGAACATATCAAACTAAAATATATGTAAAATAAATAGTTAATATTTCAAGTTTGATGTTGAAAAACAAAAGTACAAAATGACTATGCAAAGCAATAAGTTAAAAGAAATTTTAAACTTCATGTTCAAAGATATTGTTTTTATAGATTTATGTGCATGTATTGCAAGAAAATGTGTATACTTATCTTTTACTATTTTCGATTTAAACAATTGAGTTATATATATATTTTTCTAAAAAGAGCTGTTGTAAATAAAAATTGTAAAAATCCTTATTTCTCTATTCACTTTAATATCATTATTAAAAGAGAAAGTAAATATTCGTAAAAATAAATATGACAAATATTATTATGAATAATTAAGAAAATTATATATTAATCATTACATGCACATAATACTGTTTTAATAATATTATATCAATTTATTATTACTTTCATGTAACTAAAATCATCAAAACATAATTTCATCGTGTACTTTAAAACTGAAATCAGCAGAATATCATGTAAGAATTCACTACATATTTTTTTCTCTAAATTAAAATATTGTTGATATTTCATCATTATTGATTATAAAATCATAATCATATCTTTCTAAATAGGTACTGTGCATCCGCGAGGAGTTGGCTAGCGAAAGTACAGGTCTGATTAATTAGGGTGTTGCAGCTCCATCAGTCGTCACACGTGTTCTCGCCATAGTCGAAATGATGATGTGTTGTACGACGAAGATTGACGATGCATCATAACAAAATCGAGTGAAAAAGAACGAAAACTTCGCACATTCGCGCAGCCTTAGAATGGATGTTTCAATTGTTAAGAAACAGAAAGATTTCTTTACTTCCCGAATACAAAGCTACCGTATCAGAAATTCTCTCGAGTTTTTAAACAATCATTCTAACATTCAATAGTGACTCGAGTCATCACATATTCTGTCATATAATCTATATATTCACTTAAAATTTTAAATCTCTATAATAAATAGTAATAAAAGTAAAGTATTTTTTAAATTCAGCTTCTAAATTTTGTAATTTAGAAATAATATTACAAAAATTGTAATGTTATTAAAATGCACTCAATTGTCCATAGCATAAAAATAGTATTAATATCATAATTTTATCTTTTCATATTTATTTTAATCATATGTATATTAAAACCATGTTTTATATTATTAAATATTGTTAAGCGTCTTTTTAATATGTATATGATTAAAATTTGATTAAATAGTAAAAATAATTAATAGGTCCTGTGAAAAATAGACACATGCCACATATACATAGATAAATAAATTTTTGTTTTAGTATGATTAAATTCTTTTTACAGTCTAATGTATATGTTAGAACTGTAATGTTTGAGGTTATGTCTCAACAGTACTGATACATTTGGTTCGCACATGTCATTCCCATACTTTCGCGCCACGCTTCCCGTCATGAGCTATGGGTAAGGACCACATTGCTGCCATCCGTAATCGTACATTACAAGTATTTTTTATTATCTTATAATATTATTCACCATTCAAATGCTCTATAAAATACTTACAATTTAGTTCCACATTTTTTATAAGAATAATTTTGTTTCTACTTCCATTTCTCTAAATTTATAAAGCTGTGGTATGTGCTGGACCCCTCAATTATATTTTACTAATATAACAAAGCCCCGTAACATAATCTTGCATTTTTACGTTATTTAATAAAAAATATGTATTTCTTATAATTAGGATAATCCTACTCCTATGTTACTAGTATTAGTTGGTGTATCCAAGAAGGGGCAATGGAAGTTTCAAAAGAGGAAATCAGTGTAGCAAGCGAAGTACTTTGACAATCCCAAGTACTGTTCCGCTAGCCAACTTGTCGTAGGCGCATAGTATCTGGGAATATTTTTATCATATAAATTAAACCATGTAAATATTACAGTTTTTACAAATTTTTTAAACTATAAAACATTAATCTCTAGTAATTTGAATAAAAGTATTAAATAAGTAGAATAAAAGAAATCAATGTGCCTTAAGATAAATTTAGACTAAAATGATTCGTTGTAAGTTTACATTTAGTAAATTTCATGTAATGTTGTTTTAAAAGAAATGTATATTTTTTTATAATTTTTCAGTAATAAATAAAAATAGTACATATTTCGTATGATGATCTTTAAAAATCATGATATCAAATGTTTTGTAAATTATATATATTCAACAGAATGGTATTTTATACTTCCAAATATTTGTAGAATAACTTGGTAATAATGACAAAATATTAATATAAATAAAATAAACTAGTAACTTTAAGAAATTTGCATAATTTTGATGAAAGAAACTAAATATATTAAAGATATGTAAGGGTAATAAATTAAAATAATTTATCATTCAAGAGTCTTTTAATATTCTTTTTATATGAATTATACAAATTTTAATCATATATTTTGTTAGAAACATAAATTATTTTTAGTCTACAAGGTACTTGATGTGTTTAACCATTTCAATAATATGATGACAAAACATCAATAACAAAAATTTAATTTTACATGATTGGTTATACATATTAACAAGTGTAATTGCTTTCTTGAACAATACACTAAATTTTTTTGTGTTGAATTCCACTAGAAAAAAATGTGTGCTCTCAAAACAATAGAAGTATATATAAAATTGAATTTCTATTGACACTTATAATTACTTGACATATATTGAACAATATGCATACAAAGTGTGTTTTTTAAACATAGAGTATAGTTATTTGTTACATTATATGGATATAGCAACAGTATTAAATAGAATAAATATAAGATAATTTAATAAATGATATATTTTACGATCTTTTGTACATAAAATTTGAATAAAATGTATATTACATAAATACATATATTTCTTCAGTACATTTGAAAGTCTATTTTTAAGAATTAATAAAATTTTTAATACTTCCAGCGTATTGCAAAAATGAAAATTTTATATTGAATGTAAAATTTAGTTTATTAATTATTACAAATGTAATAATGATAATTTATATATAATTGATAGAATAATTAATAGATATTTACAAGTAAATATATCATATAATGACCATAATTGTTTATAAAATGTCCAGTTACTTAATTTTATAAAAATAAAATTTTAATAAAAATACACTCTGTGAAAATTTACAAGAAAGAAAATATTATGTATTTTAGAAGTAAAAGTATGGAATTTATTAAAAATTTTATTTATTAATTTGTATTAACTGAACCCGTTGATGCATCACCATCCAATGACAACTCTGTACATCCTACATCTAAAAGTGGGAGATCTATTCGTTTACGTCTTCGTTCACACTTGGGACATGGCTTATTAGCGTTTAAACATTTTGCGTGAAACACTGCATTACAGGCTCCACACTAAAACCATATAATATTTAATAAATCATCAAACATTTTTTTTATAGATAACTTTTGGATTTTCACAAATTTCACATATAAAACCCTTTTGACTACAAAGCCAACAACTCATAACATGATTTCTTGCAAATTCTACTACCTTTTGCAGCCTTTGTGCAAGAAGTCCCGTAGGTATATCATAAAGATCAGAAACAGAATATTGATGAACATGTTCATATAAGTAATCCTTAGGTGCAACCTTTTTTTGTAAAGATTCAATTATAGGTTCACGACAGGTAAATAAATAGGCTCTTAATAAATTTAATTGAATTCTTAATGACTGTAATTGAGCCATAACATCTACAGCCATATAAATTCGTGGATTTAAAACTTTGAGGTCTAGTAATGCAGGACAATCTTGCATATATTCTGCTGCTTTCTTACAAACACGATGAAGTTTTAAATCCCAGTTATAAATTACTCGTGATGGAATAAGGTATTCGTTTTGTGACATACATTTTGAACAATAATAGTTACCAGTGAAAGAACAAACACATGCTTGCGAAAAAGTCATACCAATTGCATGACCACATTCAAAGCAACTATAATTTTGTACATCCAAACCTTTTTCCCTAGGAAGTTTCTCTAGTTGTTCATCAAAATTTATTACAGCCTGCAATGACAATAAGAAACATATAATATTTTGAATCGTAATTATATGCTATATGAAATTTTTCATAAAACTCTAATAAACTGTACAAATAGAAGTTTTAATGTATCATTTATAAATTAACTAAAATGTACTAAAATGAAGATAATATACAAAATTTTTTAAGATTTAGATAAATTATACCTTATTTTCTGATTGAACTTTAATTTCATCATTAGATCGCTGCTTTTTTGGATACTTTTTTAACAACTCCTCAAGATCAGGGACTGATGGACTTCCAGAAGTGTGGTAACTTTGAATAATTGCATCATATGTAGGTCCATCACCTGGAGTATGAGGTGCATCTTTCCCAGAATCATGAGATATTACCATTGAAGTTAAAGAAGAATCACAATCTTCAAATGATGTAGACCATCCTAATCTTCCTATTAATGAATTCCCTACTGTTGCTACAATATCTTGTGAAGTATCATGATTTTGTACAATATTTTCAGCTGTTGAATTTTCAATATCATTAGATGCATTAATTTCTATATCAATGTTTGGACTATTACTATTTGAAATTTTGCTTTCTTCTTTTTCTTCTTTTCGTACACTTAGTTCTTCCACTTTTAGAGATGGAATTTCTTCTGACTCATTGGTCAAACTATTGACATCAATATAATTTGGTTCCTTATTATCTGATTCCTTATTACTTGGTTCCTTATTATCTGATTCCTTATTACTTGGCTCCTTATTATCTGGATCCTTAGTAGCTAATATAATTTTTAAAGCTTCATCTACTGTAATAGAAGTCACATTATGAAGAGCAGTCTGCGATGAATTAAAAGAACCTAGACTGCCAATAGAGCTAGCAGTTTCAACTTCGTCAATATTGTCATCATCTGTTAACTCTGTAGTTATTGTTTTTGCAATATCTACTGCACTAAATATTGGACAAGATTTCAGCGGTGGTGACCATATACCTGCTAGTAGAAGAGGAGTATTTGACCAAAAATTTAATAGACTACTATTACATGCAAGTTCAAAACATATGTAATCTAAGCTTTCAATTAGTCTCTGTGCAACTTCTACAAGGTCTGTATCTCTAATGAATGCATACTTATTATAATATGGCTTTAAAGCTGAATTATCTCTTTTTATAGAACAAAGGTAGCTAGATAAAAGACCTTCATTTAATGCTAATCGTATCCAAGCTCTGCAGTATCCAACTTCTGTAGTAAGTTGGCTCAATGTTTGTATTTGATCTATGATTTGTCGATGAGAAAATACTAACAGTGGACCCCAAAAACTTGGTTGTGGCACTGCATTGAAATCTGGACCACTTAAGACTTCTGTTACTCGATTTAAGAGACTGTCTTTTAGTCCATGTAGAAAGATTGCTTCCAAAACAGAACATAGGGTCATACTTTCGTCACAATTGCCAACTGCATTGTTTCCTTCCTTTTTTGATGCACCTTGCATTTCCATCACTGTGATATTTAGCTGCTTTTGCAATGATTCTCTGACTAATATATCTCTCTTGTTTGTCATAGGATTGACTGTTTTCAAAAACGAATTCATCTTTTCGAATTTGATGTTCCACAAGATTAATAGTTTCGTTGTTATAGATTCTTCTGTCGAGCATCTTCGTGATTATAATAGAAAAAGTTACCTAAATTTTAAAAGGTAACTCGGTGAAATCATTAATCGTGGTAATAGAATTTCGCAGATATTACGTAAATTACGTTTATACGATTCGAACATTACGCTGATACTGACAAAGAAACAAGGAAGTACCGCCAGAAGAAATACAAATCACAAAGTAATAAGAAAGGCACGCGAACTTCGAACCAGTAATAATGCATGTCAACGTTATCTTATCTTGATGAATGTGTAAGAAATAGGTTACACTACACAAAAACAAACTATTCAACCCAATTTAATATATACGTAATATATATGCAAGTTCGACAATTTCAATCATTGTTGTAAATTAATGAAAAATCATGTTTTTTAACTCTTTTAGTATAACGATGACTTTGTAATTTTTGACACTTAAAATGTTCCTTCGTTACTCCGATACGCAAATAATGATTCATTTCTGTCGGTTTCGGACTTTTCTTTGACTGTAGTACATATCAAAACGATAGATCGCGCTGTGATATATATCAGTGGAAGGTGTATTTTTGAATTATTAATAAATGAAAATTAAATTTCATAAAACCAATGTTGTTTGAAAGAAAGCATTATTTCATGTTACATAATATTAAAAATTACTTAACACGAGATTAAAAATAAAGATTTAATTACTCTTCATATTACAAATTAATAAAAAATAATCTTCCTTTTAAATTAAGTTTTATTTAAGACATTTTAATTAATTACTGCATCATCCTTCGCAATGCATTCTTCTGCATATATTTTATTAATCAAATAGAATTCAAAATTAATTTTTCTTTTACTTTGAAGAATATTATTAATAATAATACTTTTTAATTGTGAAGTTTAAATTTATAATAAATTTATAATAAAAATTTTCGTTTCTTATAAATTAACATTCATATGTTTCTTTTTTCTTTTTACGAAGTTAGTAAAACAAATAAAAATTTAATGTTAAAACTCATTAATGATAACGTATACATACATTACAAAATTAATATTTATGAGATTTAATAACAGTTTCATTATATGTTTCTTTTATATATAACATTGAGTTTTACATTATAATTACAATTTTTAATTAAGATGCAGTATTTTTCAGTAGATTATAAATAGATTATTACCTTTATCAGATTATTTATCTTTATGGCAATCGTGATTAATAACTACATAACTGTAGTTAAATAAATATTTTAAAAAATTGCTGTTAAACATTCTTCATTCGAAAAATATAGAATTGAAATAAAATTCGTTTTATATTTTGAAATATATACATGGATAAAAACTAATTTATTCTTGGTATTTTATATAATATTAAGAAATATATTTTCAATAATGTGCATACATACATGCTCCGTTTAAGCACTTTTATACTTGATTTGATTTTAGTTTCATATATGTCGTGCTCAATGCATATATCGCTTAAAGCGACAAGTTACACTTTCTATTGCGACGAGCTAATCGTATATTATGGCAATCTTGTCATTGAAAGTAGTTTAAATAATTTATTTTCATAATTGGTTTATTTCAATGAATCTTCAGTATAAACACAATTTTTGTACAACTATATATTATATTTTATACTGTATAACATTAAGTAATATATCATACAGCATGTCCTCTATATATTATTTGGCTTGTAGCATATATAGTATAATATACATTATATAGTATATCTTATGTTATATATAATTATGTATTATATATTACATGATATCATATTAAACATTTTGTGTATTATAATATATTTCTATAATTTATATTTTAATAAAATAGAATGATGAAAATATACTTTGCCATGTTCCATGCTTTTTTATCTGTTATTTGTCAATTTGTGTTTTCTGTTACTATATTATTTAAAAAATCGACATACTTATAAACAGTATCTTCTACTATGAAGAAGAACTAGGAGATTAATAATATTTTTTAATTAGGTATTATGTAAATTCATTTCATATACTTAGTTTTGATCGATCAATAGTTGATTGCACAAATTTATCTAATTACGTGTCAATTTTTTATATTAATTATTCGTATATACAATTAATGAACAAGACTCGTATGCAATTAAGTATATGCATGTAGTCTTTGAAAATTATACCATAAATATAAAGTTAAAATTATCATATATTTAATTACATATATGTGTATATATATATCCCTTTATTGAATTTTTACAAATTATACAAATAGTTTGGTTATCAAATTTTGTACATGTATATACTGTAATTAGTTTAATTGGAAAAATGTCACCAAAATTTTCGTCGTATTCGATCCTTTTGTCTGTCGTCACTTCCTTATCACTTTCTTAGTAGAGCAAATTTCTGAAATATCGAGCAAGTGTTAAACACTCATAGAAGGGAAGCAACTTATGAAATGTATGACAGTCGTTGGTTTAGATTCTATAAGCAAGTCTTCCTTGCTACACCGTTCCTATATTTAGATATGCACTTAGCGCATCTCAAATGTTGGAACAGGTATACCTTGTGTGAATGACCGAATACGCATGATGGCACGATGCGTGTTCTCCGTTTGACGGCAGTGGAGTTCTGGTATGGAGAAGAAGAGAGATAGAGAAGGGACAACAGAAGCGAACAGGCGGAAAGAAGTAAGCAGATTGAACACGAGGACAACGAAGCAAATAGTAGAATCAGGGCCGTATCATTCTACCGATTATTGGCCCTATTACTATTTACGAACTTCCAATACTTCAAATTTTATTTCAATTTTATATACAGGGTGTTTCACTTAAATTTAACGTCCGAGTTATTTCAGATGCTGTTGTATGCTGTTGTAGGCAAGAAAAACATGACTAAGAGAATTCTAAGAATGATCTGAAGACGTGCATCTGGTGATGAAAGAATAAAAATTCCCACAACGTCATGTCGGAGGTAATCTTAAGGTTATGGACATTTTTTTAAATGTCAGTATCTGTTTTTTATAAAATGATATAATATATTTAGCAGTGTAACATTGACATAAGTTCAATAACCTATACTGTCATGACCTTGAAGTGTCCAGAATAGAATATCAATATCGAGCCATTACTCGATTCTTCGCTTAACTTCATATCCATGCTCGCATACTGTTCGTTTTCATTGCATGTCAACACACTGGAAAGATTCGTTGTTTCGAATTTCTTGTTTTGTTTCTCATGGCCTGCTGGATTTCGATATTCTCAATTTATGGAACAGTATAATTCGAAACTTTCGGTTACTAGAAATTTTATTGGTAACAAAACTGCTATAGTCAAGAAGAAAAAATAAATGTTATATTTATTTATGGTGTAGCTAAATAGGACGCTGTGAATTGTATGCAGATTGTATCCAATGGTATATTCTTTCGTATTAAATTCACGTAACACATCCTTCACGTGTTAAATTTCAATGAATGGTAAATTTATTTTGCGCCATGACCAATGCCCATTTCTGTAAAATAATATTGTTACTGATGAAGAAGAAAAGAAAATATTTCTAGAAAATATTGCAATTAATTCAACAATTAGCTAGTAATAAATTAAATAATTTGATAAAAAGAATTAATTTATTATTCTTTTCTTATTTTATTACTTTAAAATTAAAATTAAAAGTTTTTGTCAACGACATGATGTCATAGGTCGTTGATATAGTTTGGTGATGACTATATATCACATTGTAAAAAGTAGACGTTGATATAGAGAAAAATATCGATGACCTTGCAACAATTTTTAAGATGACCTTGTAGAGTATTTCTGCTGCCATTATCAAATGCAACTCTTGAAACGATATTAATTCCTGTTAGTCATTTTTCTTATTTTCAATAACATCTGAAACAATGGAAATATTCAATTTAATTGAGCCACCCTATATATAGTCCTTTGCAATTAATTACTTTTAATAATTCTTTTAACTCGAAGAAGTTATAATGTTTAGAATATACATAAGCGAAGTGTATTGCTTCCGAAATATTAATAGGACATTGTATTCAGTATTTTTTCTGTTTTGTGAAAGCATAGAGAAATGTTCAAAGGGATTATAAAGTATCTGATAATGTAGATTACTATGAGAATGTATATGCATTTTAAATTTAAACAACTTCCTCTCTGCAAGTAAAAGAACAGTGTACCGATGTTCGCGTTTCCTTTCTACACGACATTGGAAACAATACTGTTTTCTCACGACTTACCGCTGCATAAAAGCTTTTACGCTATTTTATCAAGATATACCGCTGACAGAATAAACTGAACAAAGAAGGTGCTTCTTTTTATCACTGAGACGTTATTTATGATTACATATAACACCAAAACCTTGCAAAAACATTATTATATCGCATAAGAGCGTGTTTTCATTTGAAACTTTTCATCAAACATAACGAACTTTTCTCCATTAACCTTGCTAATACCAGAGATTCTTCTCCCGCTGATATTCCGTTTTTATCCGTCATCGAAAAACTACGTTATATCTGAGGTTAACTATAATATGAATAAACATGATTATAAATCGAAAATTTTCCTTTTTAGTATATTTATAACGTTCGTTGAATGCTAGGATATCCAAGCGAAGGATAAAAATTCGTAAAAATTACAGGACACTGGAAGAAAATGTCAAAGCAACTAGGTTTTATCGACGGCACTGAGAGCCCAGGTGGTGGAAGTGGTGGGGAGGATAGAGACCGAGGGTGTCGGGTCGTTCGGTTGGTGCGCGCGGAACAGTGACGATTCGACTGGTCGAGCGGTTGGGGTGTGTAAGCGTTACTGGTTCATTGGTGATAAGAGAACGCGTGCGTTTTGTTTCAACGGCAACGTTGCACACTTGTACGCGTTTCCGAATGCCGCGCCGTTCACGATTTCGTACTTGGGAGTTGGACAGAGATTCGTTCGTCTCGTAGCAACGAACAAGTCATTTTGCAGCGTGTTTAATGTTGCGACGCTGTTATCGAACGATTTCGGAGTGCACATGTATCATGGATGTGAAGGAGTAGGCGTCGTCCGTGTTAAATGCCAAAATCAAATATAACATGACATCCCGTGAACCGACGGAACGTAACATCATAGTGCATAAGTTAGCGGAAAAACGCGTTGCAGGCGGTGAAGAGGAAGAAGAAGAAGGAGAAGAGAAGCGGTGCTTACGCTATTCAGGGTGCGCAAAATAATTGATTTACCGAAGAAAAGTACAAATATTTCGCTCGTAGTCGTAAACTCCGTAGAACTGTGGTTAAATGAACATAGAGCTAGAGATGTTACCTTCGAACTCGCTCGAGGTGGAAGTCGGGAGTTCATCGCCTTCGAGAGAAAGTTTCCTCCTGGAGACGATGCCCAGTGAGTTGCATACCGAAATTGCATCTTGCTTCTTAGAGACAGAGGTCGTTGCTCGATGCCAGGAGGAAAGCAACGAAACGGCCAAAACCATCCCCGAGTCCGAGTGTTCGAAAAAGAAGATCGAATCAGCTGGTAGTACCAGGTCTGTGAACGATCGGCCGCGTCAGAGCTTTTCGAAGGGTTCCGCGTCGTTGCAAAGCCTCGTTCGTCGAAAGAGTCGAAAACACGGCGCGTCCTCATTATCCTTGGACGTAGACCTTTCTACGTATTCTTCGCATCCTAGCTGCCCTCTCGATCCACCCAAGGAGAATGGTGTCAATGCTTATAGGAACGATGAGGAAACTACATGCATGACCACACGTACATCCACGCTTATTTACGCTTCGTCCGTGCAATTATCGCCTAGAGGAGGCAACAACGTGCAGGACGTATCCTCGTCGAACAATAACGTCGCGACTGTCACTACCACCAGCGCCAGTAACGTTACTTCCTCGGTCAGTGGAAGTCGTGTCTATAATACCGCCTTGTCTTTGATACGAACTACCAGCGTGATTACGGCAGGACCGTCCACGTCTTCCTGCAGCAATTCAGCAGAGGAGGAGTCGGGTTACGTTGTTGATCCGGCTCAAGGAAATGCATATCATATGGGACAACTGCTTGGCAAGGTAAGCGAAATTTTGCTGTTTTTTATTTATTTTTGCAAACGATACATTTTTTAGCTCGAAGAATATAGAATGTAAGTTTTAAACGATATTTAAAACTTTTTCTGGGATATATAGAAATAAAAATGCACTATGAGATATATAGTTAAATTATTTGAGAATATTTCTTTTCTACGTCTAATATTACGAGTTTAATAGTAGTTGAGAATCTAGGGGAAAGTACTAGTAATTTATTGTAACTAGAAGCCGCAATTTACGTTTACCTCTGACGAAATATTTAATATTCGTTATTAACAAGATATTTAAAAAATTGCAAACACGCGAATCTAACGTTATTGTTTAATAATTGTTTTATTAAAAATGTTGAAGTTGCAGGGTATGAAGTAATTATATTTTATTTATCGACTTAGACTTGTTTATTAAGAGGAGATAGATTATAATGTTTTACTTCAGTTTAAGTTATTTAATGTTTATTAATATTTATAATTACTCGATGTTCAATAATGGAAGTTTAAATATTATTTTACACTCTTTAGTCCGAATTTACTTTTGCTTGTTGAAAAAAGGACTGGTTGCATTTCTTTACTTAAATTTAAGTTCTTTATGTAATGATTGTTATAATTACTTAAAATATGTTAACAAATATTTAAGTATTATTTTAAACTCTATACTTCAAATTTATTTTTATTTACTTTCCCTTCCTTAACTTCTAGTTATTATCTAGTCATATTTATTAATACTTATTACTAGCAATTTATTGCTATTAATATTTAAGTAATAACAAGTATTAATTACAATATTTGTTGACACTATTAATACTATAGTAAAAATCTTACTGATTAGTATAAGTATACTTGTATATTTCTTCAAATATCAATATTATTAATGCTTAAATTTAAGTATCATTTCAAATCCTTTACTTCAATTTTTCTTTTATTCGTTGAAAGGAAAAAAAAGATTATAGTTCTTTAAGTTTTAACGAATAAAGTATTAGCTTTGGTATCGACCTGCTCTGTCCCTAGCATATGTCCCTAGCCTGATTGCAACTAGGATATTGCGACTATTACCGCAGGACACTAAAAATCGTATTAGCGTGTTGCTGAAGTTCGTACAGTTGCTTAGAGGTCCCGTTTTTCACGGGAGGAATGACATTTAACGTAGGAACTGTAGAATTATTAAGGTATTCATATACTTGGCATTCATACCATTTTATTGCACAAACTGACGTACTTTATATCTCTTACTTGACAGAAATTGTCGTCAATTTATTACTAATATATTACTAGTGGGCTAGTATTATCAATATAAATAATTAGAATTTATCAATTTATTTATTTATTTATTTATCTCATACTTTATACGAACGTAACGAGACTTTTATTTTTATTTTACTGTAATTATTTCTATTAGCTCTATTAATCGATACATCTTGGTAAATTCATATAATCAAGCGTATTTAAATTGGTTTTTATGTACCACTTAATAAAAATTATTCGACATTTATAATTTGGCAGCTATTCTAAGTGAAAGAATTGCATTTCATTGTGAAATAATGAAATCGAATTGCATAAGATATTTTTCAAAATATATAGACATATATATATAGAAGTATTACACATTGTATGAAGTTTTGTCAGAATGTAATGGAATAACATATGGAATCTTATTGCAAAATAGTAGGTTAATAATGGAATCATGTATCGCGATATATATTCTTTAATTTTGCATAATAATATACACGTTGCATGTGCGAAATATACGTAAAATAATTCTATTCGTTTCTAATTTGTTACACGTTGAATAACGATTTCTTTAAACTTTTTGAAATTTACTTCAAATAAAATATTTTGTATTAATTTCCTAATGGCAAGTGATGATTTGATACATTCATTTACTGATTTTTATGTACCCGATATTTTATTTTATTATTGAAATATGAATTATTGAAATACTAAGAGTACTTTGAATAATTTAGAAAGGGAAATAGGATATGTTCTTTTATTACACGTCATGAGTGAATACTAACAATTTAAACCATCAGATTTAGATTTTCTTTAACGATGAAGTCATAAAAGGTTGCTCAAGAAAAGGGAAATGAAGGTAAAGCTATATATAAGTTTGTAAACAAGATGATACGAAATATTGCAAAACGACTAGAAAATTGTAGAAGCTAATGATCTCACAAGTAAAAATATATTTTGAGCCATAACAATTGTACCTATTTAGCATTAGAATGACTTATTTCAGACTTCTTACATTTTCAGTTACTGAAAGTGTCTAATTGCTTTTGTTCGAATTTAATTTTACAAGTCAATCTACACTTATTGACAAACGCTAAAAAAGAAAGCAATCATTTATTAATTTTTGTGTATCCTTTATTTTTTTAAAGAAAAAGATTATATTTTTTTAAAGAGTATTAAAATATATTAAAACTAAATATTATAATTGAAAATAGTTATAAATAATTATATATTACAGTAAATAATAAGTTCTTTTTTCGAAAATATATATAATTATGTATAATATAATAAAATATATAAATCGTATTTTTAAGAACTTAATTTTCTTACCTTCTGTTAATAACTGTGGTTCTAGTTAATAACGATGTTAATAACAGTGGGAATACGTAACGAGCAGCACTCATCGGTTTAGCACTCTTTAAATCGGTATACTTTGACATTAAGGTTAGTAGTAACAGTTTACGCTTGCTACTTGCTCTAATTGTTACGAAAGTTGTATTCATCATGCAAAGTTATTCTTCTGTTATGACATACATACGAGATCAATTTGAAGTTACACTTATCTTTAATTACACTTACTGGCAATGGTTAAGAAACGAAGTAATAATTTGTCAATTATTGCACATTTTTTACTTTCTAAAACACGTAGATGAAAATAATAAATTTTCATATATGTATCTCAGAAGATAAAAAATGTACATAAATCTATAAATTTTCAGAAATTTACGTTTACATTCAGTGATTTAAATTTAAAAGAGAGAAGAAGAAAAAAAAGATTATCTATGTCTAATTAGAGGTACATACATGTAGATTTAACAGGGTACAAATGGACTATAAACGCGTTACACTCGTTATACAAAATTCAAGCATGATCACTGAAGCTGCTACAAATCACGATTATTTCAAAGAATAAATCACCTGGCTGACTAATGTTGATTTATAACCCATGTTACCAACTCTACCAAGCATATTAGTCACTACGAATAGGCTTAAGATATTTAGGTACGAACATCCTGTACCACTGGTGACTCAATAGTGCCCTTAGACCTCTATTTTTCCTTTCCCATGCTTACTAACTTATTACGTGGTCATTGTAAGCAGTTTGCCCTTTATTAGAATTCTACGTGTACTTTCATAAATGAACGTAATTTGCATAATGCTTATGGTTGTATAATTAAAACAGGCAGATACTGTTCTCAATTTAAATTATTTTCACATTTTTTTTTCCATGTCTAATAGTAATTTGCCTTTTAATGAAATTCTAATTTTAATTCCTCTTCATTGCGTATTAATGACTTGAAAACATTCCTTAAACGGTTATGCTAGCCTAGTATCCTTATGAATGCATATAAAATTGTTTAATTCTGTTTATCGTACACGCTCTGATTGCAATCGTATGGTTCTCGTTTCTTGATTTTGTTCCACAGTTTATAGCGAGCAGTGTAGCTCCGTGTTTATTTCTCGACGTTCAATCGTATTTTCAATGCTCGAAAGAACAAAATGTAGGAAGTGAATCACTTGCTACTCGTTTTCACATACCAAGAATTCTAATGTGAAACGTTCAGAGAACGTTCTGTCACCATAGCGGAACCTATTTCCAAGAAAGCTTATGGCAAACAAAGAACCGTGAGAAAGGAAGAGATCTGCAACAATTAAACTAATATTAATATATATTTATATAATATAAATAATGAACATACCTAATATACGATATGAATAATATTTTATAATACACACCGAGTAAGCTCAATTTATTTTATCGTTCAGTTTGTGCTTTGTCTGAGATGTTTATTTTAATGGAATCATTTGTAAATACAGAAAACAGCAAATAAAAAACATGATCGTAATGTCATTATAATTGTAAATGGAGAATAGTTATCGATGCTTGGTTTTTGTCAAACCGGATAATTCAATTCATTGGACTGAACTTCCTCTTTGTATCATTTACTTGCTTGCATGAAAGATTTACAACACTTTTTGTGTAACATAATATCCTTCTGTAATATGATCAATTTTAACTCGATTATGCAAAGAAAAAATTTCATACTCAATATAATTGAATTAATCAAAGTATCATATTTAATGCATACTTACCTTCATATAAGAATAAATTTTCGAAGTATTTTAATTGAGTTATTAATTACTTGAAATTATGTAAAATTTCTGAGAATTCAAAGTTTCACCTGCAAAAAATTTTATGGCATATTAAACCAACGAATTTATTTTAAATATAAATAATTTAAATTCATTTTAAAGTTTAAATAATTTAAAGCAAATTATTTTTAAATATAAAATATTTAATATTTCTATCATTGCCTTATAAATAAAATAAATTATTCCAAATTAAACATTATTCTATGATTCAATTGCAATGAAATGCAGATTCAAGATCGTAATTTGAGATTGTTCTTATATACAAATTTATGAAAAACACAAGAGCACAAGACTCGTTTAATGAATAAGCTGTTAAGCGTATGTTAAAGTAGAATTATCACGTTCATTTAGCACGCATAACATGCGCGAGAAGTATCTTGTAAGATTCGAGCTTGTTAAAATATTTAGCTGCGACAACAGATGTCAAGTGAACCTAATGCTATCATTCGAGACTCGAATCAAAGAATCACGTACACAACAGTCTAACTTTGTCATTTCACTCCACTTAATCCTTTAAAAAAGTCGCAAATTCCAAAACGATGCTTGTTATTAAAAAATATACACGTATACTACATATCCTAATTTGAACGAACAGAATCAAAATTAACG